AAATGACGGTGCGGCAAGAAGCCTACCATACCCGGCAAGAGGAGATGTATCATCATCAGCAGGCGATGCGGCAGGAATGGACAACATTCCAGCAAGAGTACCGCGACGATGTCCGAGAGCAAGCGGACTTCCGGTATCACCTCTACCAGCAATTCGCCCGTGGATCATCTCCAGAAGATAGCCCTTAGGGATGGTACTTGCCTAAATAAAAAGTGGTTGTAATAAAATTTCCTCATAAATAAAAATTTTATTTCATGCATCTCTTTGCCACCCCTTGCAAAAGCTAGCGTAAAACAAAAAAGCTTAAAAAGGAAAAAGGCATACGCTCAATAAGAAAAGTCAAAATCCTAAATCGCGAGAAAAAAGAGATAAAACCGCGAGAAAAAAGGCAGGATTAAGACAAGCCATCACCTCAACCAACAAAATTTCGACTGCCAAGCAAGAGTCGAACAAAAACAAAGACCCATCCGACCAGCCAACAAGAATCGGATGATCCCTACCAAAAGTCAAAAAACAAAGAATCCCCGGAGCAGTCCGGATGACCATTCAAAGAGGTCCAAATACATCTACCAACCGCAGAAGTCACTCCCCAAGCAACCGGCGCATGAGCGATTGAGCAGTAAGCCGCTACTACCACCAGTCCTACGCAGTGGACTGTTCCAGCCTGATAGGGGGTTCATACCTATCAACCAACACACAAGGAGTGCCCAACCGGCGCATGAGCTACCCGAGCAGTAAGCCGCCACTACCAGCAGTCCTACGCAGTGGACTGTACCAGCCTGATAGGGGGTTCATACCCATCAACCTGAGCACGCGTTGCGCCTGATCTGCGCTCGAGCTGGATCAGTAAGTCGCACTACCACCCTGATGGGGGGTTCGTACCCATCTAGTCCCGCAACGGACTGCAACTACCACCCTGATGGGGGGTTCATACCCATCCAGTCCCACACAACGGACTGCAACTACCAGCCTGATGGGGGGTTTATACCCATCAACCGAAGGATCGGCTACCGTCAGAAGGAGTATCCTGAGGTTCTACCACGTGTCCACCGAAGGGATCGGCTACCGTCAGAAGGAGTATCCCGAAAGTGCACGAACACCAACATTTCCCCAGAGGATCATCCGCCGCAAAAACGGAACATCTGAAGGGCAACCGGGCAAGAGGGTCAACTCCTTTACCCTCTTGTCGATCACCTTGGCACAAAAGGCCGGCAATCGACTGGTCGGGTAAAGGGGGGGCAGCTGTAGACCCCAAATCTTGCCCGGCCTCCAAATAAAGAGAAGAAGACCTCCTATTCGAAGATGGACAAAGCCTAACAAGCCACTAGGAGAGACTATTAGGCCCCATACTAGGATAGGAGGGGTTTTTTTGTACAAAAAATAAGTTTTCTCGCCTTTTTGGGACGAGACCGCCGTCTCAAAATCGAGACCGCCGTCTCGCCTCACGCAAATGGCGAGACCGCCGTCTCGTTTGATGAGACGGCGGTCTCGCCACCTGCGAATGGCGAGACGGCGGTCTCGCTTTCCCAGACGGCGGTCTCTCCACCTGTGAAGGACGAGACGTCAGTCTTGTTTGGCGAGACGGCGGTCTCACCACCTGCGCAGGACGAGACGGCGGTCTCGACCCTGTCAGACGAGAACGGCGGTCTCGCCACTGTCAGGCGCAAAAACCTATAAATAGGGGCCTCCCCCCCCTCATTTCCACACACCACACAGTTTCTCCTCCTTCTCTCTAGAATTTCTCTCTCTAGAACCCCTCCGAAGCATTTCCGGAGTTTCTGAGCGTTTTTGAGAGTGTTTTTGAGCGTTTCAAGAGAGTTTTTGAGCGCTGTGTAGAGTGAAGGGCTGCCGCAAAGCACCCTCTTTTGAAGAATTAATAGAAAAGCCTGCTACGAAGGTTTTCTCTTCCTCTTTGTCTATTTACCGCTTTACATAAATTGTGCAAATAGCTATTAGGGCCATGTAGTCATAAACTTAAATTCCGCATAATAAAAGGGTAAAAGCGTTATTTTCACCGGTTTAAATATTTTTAGATAGCTGGCCTATCATAGGGAACCCAAAAGGGGCGTAGTAAAGGAATTAATACTACCTTTACACGTAACTAACTCCCTTACCCAACTCTGGTTCTAATGACCAAAGTTGGTTTTCGAAAACCAACGCCTTTTAAAACCCCTTTTCCGATGTTTCCGGTAAAAACATTGGTGGCGACTCCATAGAACCCCTCAAAATTAGTCCTTGGGTTAGCCCGGTTATCGGACAACCCAAGGACGACCTTTCGAAAACCTCGCCCCTAGGTTAGCCCGGTTATCGGACAACCTAAAGGCGTTGTAACCACCCATAAAAAAACGCGAAAAACAAAAAGGGTCGAAACCATCGCGTCGCTCCGACCGCCTTCTCTTTTTGACGGCGGCGACACTGATTATATTATCGCTTCCGCTTTATCTGTGTTCAAACAAATTATTGACTCACAAATAAATTTTTAATTTGACATCTATTTTAATTTGTGCATCTATTCACCCCTTCTAGATGTCATTTGTCTAACACCTTAAATAATAAAATTAAAAAGAACTTTTCATTTTTAAGTTAATGAATATAAGTTACTTATCCATTGTTATTTATCAACCTTTCTTTCAATTAGATATAATCGTTTATTTGAGTAGCATTTATATCTACATGATTTTAAATTCAATTTTAGTGTTTCATACTTAAATTTATCCCCTCTTACGTTTTTGATTGAAAAACTCGTTTGCTAGCCTAAATAAAAGAACTCCGAGTGGTTGAAAATTGGTTAAAACTTATAGTCTTCATGAATCGAAACAAAACCAAATTTCACCAATATCAGTGGATATAAAGAACTTATTTATATATAAATTATAATAGTTAAAAACAATTTATATAAATATATAAAAATGAATTAAGTATTCAGTTCTTAAAAATAAATTATAATTTATTGACTATTTTACCATTGTTTATATTTTTTTCTTAGTACATTGCAAGGTAAAAAATGCTTTAAATAAATGTATCATATAAACATGTTAGCAGATCAAACAAGTGCTTACTAATATATTATAGTCTTGATTATATGGTTGAATTGAATTGCCCGTTACCTCTGACAATTTTTCTTAACAAATTCTGCATGAGATTAGTTGATACGTGTTTTTTTATCATAGTATTAGGGAAGAAAGTGTGAGAAAAAAAAGAAAAATAATAATGATAAAATAAAATAGAAATTATTTTTTATTTAAAAAAATGACGTAAAAAGAAAGAAAAATATCAATTTAAAAAATAATAAATAAAAGAAAAAAATATTAATTTAAAAATATTATAAAATTATTCATATAATTATTATTTTTGACTTTTTATTAATAAAATAATTTTTTAAAGTAACACCTTTGAATTAATATTTTTTTTCAATAATATGTATTTTAATATATAATTATAAAGTATTTTTTATTTTAAAATTATTTTTCTAAAATTATTTAAAAATAAATTAATAAAACAACATCATATTAAAAAAATATTAAATTATTTATTTAATTTTTATAATCATTTTCATATTTATAATATTCTATTATTTATTAAAAATATATTAGAAACATAAAAATAAATAATAATTTTATAAAATATTTTTTTTTCACTTTTTTCTATTCATATATAAGTAAAAAAAAAAACATATACCTTAAAGTGAAAAGTGATTTTTTTTTTTACTTTTTTTAACTAAAAAAAAATTCTTTCTACTTATTTTTTTTATACTAATCACTTTTCATTTGATACTAGATAAAATTTTAAATAATATAATCCAATTTTTATTTTCTAATAAAATCATATATCCTTTTTATTATTCATTGTAGGGTAATTATATTTTTTGTGATTTCTATATAAAATATTAGAGTATTATTTATTTTTTAATAGTTTTTCATATATATGTTATTATCATATTAAAAATATAAATAGATATAGTTTGTAATCAAATTATTTTATTAAGATTTATTTTATATTTAATTGAGAATTCAAGATTTATTAACATCTGATGATGAGTTAATTTATAAATAGTCTAAACCAAGTTATTTTGTGTTTCTATAATTTTTTATACTCAATTTACTTGTTTATTTATATTTTCTTTATTGTTCCTATGATTGTAAGTTTGAATGTTTTTTTTTTTAGCTCAAATGTATGTAGTCAAGATTAAGGTGTTAGCAAAAATTAATCAAACTATTAGATAGTGAAATATTACCAGATTTTTCTTAATTGTACTCTATATAACATTTTTCTTTTTCTAATTTATAATTATTAAAATAAATTAATCTTCAATTATTGTTGACTATTATTATTTGGCAAAATAATTGGACGAGTAACAAACTATTTCAAACTACCTTAAATTTAGTTTATTTTTGGAGTATAATTAATATGATTTAATAGATATAGTTAATAAATTTATAGAGTTTCTTAGTTACACATAAAATTGTTGATTATTAATTTTAATTCGGGATATTAAATAATTAATATCTTTCATAGAATAATAATCTGTTATATGTTTTGTACCATTTAAAAATTATGAACATTTGTTTTGAAGTTTTAACCCTCCAACTTGTATCTCTTGGTCCTGGTCGTCACATGATGTTTGTACAAAAAAAACCACGTTCTTAGTATAAATAACGATATGATAAATTAAATTAAATTTACAGTGGTTTTTTCTCTCTAGAAAAGTATCTTGAAATTTTAAATTTATGATAAATAATTATATATAAATATACTTAGTTATTGATAACGTATCTTAAAATATTAAAATTTAAGATAAAGATATTGAAAAAACAAATTTATCTCTTTTATATTTTCTTTATAAAAAAAAAGTTTAAAGAGAATCATAAAAATTAATTAGTTAAAGATGATAATAATATTCAATATAAAGGAGAAAAACCGAATTCCATTGAAGAAGAGATCTCGCAACATTCATCACGAACCCTACCATTTCAACAACGACATATTGTTCCCGCACTGCAATGTCTTCTCGAGCAATCGCTGTTCTGATGCTTCTTTTGCCTCTGATGATGACAAATTCCACGGCCACACCGAGCCCCATAGAGCATTGCCTGAGGATGCGACTGTATCCTCCGTCTCCTCCACCGGCGGGTTCGGAACTCTTTAAAATCTACGATTTCAGTCGCAGTCTATGCCAAGATGTGTTTCGCGGTGTCAGACATTCGCTGCGGATAACAGGGGAATTGCCTCTCGATTACATAATTGCCCTCTGTGACATCTTCGGCGACAACGAGGACAAGGTTGAGAGTTACGTCAAACACATTCTCGGAACGAACGATTTTCTCAAGCTTTCCGGGGGTCGCACTTGCGCCACCATCCGAATGAGGCAACGCGCCAACCCGGACAGGTCCTCACTCTGGTGAACAAAAATCAAATTCAATCTTCAAATTCGATTTGTTTTCTTTTTCTAAATAAGTTTGTGGTTCCTTGTTAATCACCTCTCAAAATTGTTAATTATTTTTTTTATATTTTTGTTATTTGTTTAATTATCCATTTGAATCAATCAAGTTGATTACTTGTTCTTGTCTTTAACAGTTCTTAGTAAAATTTGCCTTTCCAATGTCCTCAATTGTGAGATTCTGAGGTTTACATAGTCCAAAACTAAATCATTTTTTTTCTTTTATAACTAAATTAATTAGTTTTTACATTTTTAATTTAATTAGATTCAAAACCATCAAATTTTTAAATTGATTTACATATTCAACTTCTGCTTAAAACAATTTTTTTTTCAAAAAAGGTAAGCAAAGATTTTCTTATACATCCTAATCAATCTACTAATATTCTTTTTAAAGATAAAACTATAGCAAAAGATAAAGAAATAGTAAGTAATACTTTTAAATACAATGATAATTATAACAATGTGATTTTAGTGCATTTATAGTTAGAACATTAATAATTATTTTATGGAAATTTTTTTTAAATTAAATAATATTTCAAATGAAATGATTAATTATATTTGTTAGGACTTGTATTCTTAAGTAATTGATAATTATACGTGATAATTTAAAAATGATAATTAATTTTAATATGTATAATATTATTTTATTTAAATAGATGTTTAATGTGGTGTATATAATTTATATGAATGATAATACTAGCAAAATAATTTAGGTTGATCTTAGACTGTTTAGGTGAGTTAAACAAAAGATAGAAAATTTTTAATATTTGATTATTTCCTTAAAATAACATCATTTGTTCCTCTTAAACTACCCATCCTTATCTCTGTAACATAACCTTATTTTCTTCTTCTTTTCTTTTATTCTTCCACAAGCTACATAAAATTAGGATTATTTGAGAAAAATGAGTTATGTGAAATTGGGTTTGATTATAAGTGTTTTTATAACTAAGTTTGGTTGGTTGAAGTGATTTAGAAGTTTCAAGAGTACATAAGGTGGAAAAAAAAAAAATTCAAGGTAAGAGAAACTATTTTTTTTAATGGTGAGAATTAACATACTTTCAATCCATAAATGGATAAATTGAAAAAGGAGATAGATGAGAATGTAGATTTATAAGTAAAAATATCAATACATTGTTTGTTAGTATAAATTTACATATAGTTGATACAATGAAATTAAAGATTTAGTAAGTGTGTTTTTCTTGCAACTTGTTTGATGTTTGGTTGTAGTATTTTGATAGATAATAGAGAGTACTGAACATATTCATGCATATATATGAAAAATTAATTCCATTTTTATATTTGATATAAATTTGTAAGCGAAGGTTTAAGAGTACAATTTTTTACTAAAGAGGATTAAATAGGTGCATGTTACATAGTTACTATTTTAGGAAATAAGAAAGTTTGGAATGATTTATTATAGCATTTTTTCTTAATCTAATATGCCTAGTAGTAGAGTTAGGCATAGATTGTTAATAATGTCTCGTTAAAGTATGCAATTTTGTTTAATCTTATGGTAATTTATTATGTGAATGTGTGATTGTGTTAATTCTTAAGTAGCTTTTAAATGATTTTATATGAATTATATAATAGTTAAATATGCATGAGTATGACTTGGTAGGAGTGTTAATACCTTTAGAGTGATATACACCAATTTAATTTGTTATTTACTAATATTAGAAGTTGTTAGCCATCTAGGTTGTACTATTGGATTTATACAAATTTTCTTCTTATTATCACATAATCATAAATATAACTATATCTGTAATTTCTTTATGTTGAAAGTCCCATATCGCTTACCTCATGTCATTTGGTATAATTTAAATACATGTTAGGCTACTCCACATATTGACAATTGGTTTTATGTTGGAACCTTAACATGGTATCAGAGTCAAAGCCTAATATCTTTTCGGTTATTGTCATGGGCCAAAAGTTGTCCATTAGTTGGGTCAAAAGTACCATTTGTCTGGTCCAGCAGACTTCGTTAGAGGGGACGTATTGAAAGTCTCACATCGCCTACCTCATATCATTTGGTATGATTTAAATCCATGTTAGGCTACTCCACATATTGTCAATTGATTTTATGTTGGAACCTTAACACTTTATAATATAATTGAAGTACTTTAACATGAGTTTCTCTAGTTGTTCTTTTTGGAATGTTTGGTTATAATGGATAAAGAAAGGCATAGATACATAACTACATGTATGCTCATTATACCTTGTAGTATGTATATGAATAAAATATATTGTTGGCATAACATATCATTAGTATTGTGAATTTGTTGTCTTATGCACTCTGCATTACTTGATAACATTGTTTTTACCTTAAATGCATTTGTTTGTGTTGATTTAAGTGATAATAAAAAAATTGTATTTTCATTATAGTATAAATATGTGTTTTAAATGAATTTTGACGTTGAAGTTTTTTTCTTTTTTTTTATATATTATTTTGTTGCTTATAATAATATTTATATTTAGATGATTTTGTGAAATGAATCAATTTGTAGATTGAAATGAGGAAATAATAAGATAAGGTTTAAATATGTTGTGAAATAGATATTGTTAAGGTGGTAATATTGAAATTAAGTGTAACGTGAATATTGAATTGTAAAATATATGGACGAGATATCCAAGTTTTTATTGATACCCAAATTATATGAGGGCATTAGATGATGAAAAGCCAATAGAGACATTATATTTGGGATGACTTTAGTCGTCGATACTGGATGAAGGGGTAAGAGCTACTTTGTCAAATGTGTTCTAGTAACGAACATGATTGAAAATCAATTCTTTTAACTAAGTGCACTTTAACATCTTGTATCGCAACCGGGGTCACATTTTTAACATTTAACTAAGAGTATTGGTCTTAGTCTAGATATTGTAAGATTTTAATATCTTTCTGAATCTGAATTTGGTTTTGAAAATTATTTTCTAAAAAAGATTTTTTTATAGTTTCCCTTAATAAATAAATTATGGTGGCTATTCTATTTTCAAAAATTTTCACCGGCTCGTCATAACTTCAGTTTCAACAGATTATGAAAATCAGTATTTTGATATTATCATAGGAGTTAAGTAAAGATAAAATACAAATTTTGTTTGAATTTTATGATAGTGTGAATCTATGTATCATCCTAGGCAATCCTTTGGTGAAGGATACAGGTGTCTATCGAAAGTTAGGCTTGGTATGCGAGTGCTAGTCGGAGCTGGGCTTTGTATACGGGTGTTAGTCAGAAGTTAGGCTTTGTATGTGAGTGTCAGTCGGAATTCGGGCTTGATATGCGGGTGCCAGTCATAGGCTGACCTTTGTATGCGGGTTCCAGTCGGAGGCTAGCCTTGATATGTGAGTGCTAGTCGAAGGTTGGGCTTCATATGCGGGTGCCAGTTGGAAGTTGGGCTTTATTTTCCTAGGATCTCTCCTTTTCTTTCTCTTGTTTTTTTTGGTAACAAGACATGTATTTTGAATCAATTTCTCCCCTGCAATCATCAAATTCATGTAAGATTGTCATTTTTCTTTCTGATTATCATTTGCATAATTTTACTTTGCTTTGAACACAACGAGAAGTGTTATGACTCTTCTAATTTAATGCAATAATTGAAGTGTCATGTACATGACATTTCTTCAAAAGCATTACTTAATTCGCATGAATATTTGAATCAACGTATTAGGAAACATAGGTGACTAGATCATGGAATATTGGTCTAAATGATTACTTCACTCTTATGACAATAAATTAATCTTGATGTAACTAACCATGAAAAGTGAGGAAAAATGAGATACGAAAAACTAAGGGATAAAGTTTGTTTAGGATAAAACGTGGATCACTCATTTTTAGTATTAGCATGATAGAAACAAAAAGGATTGTCCTAGTGTGTGGCAACATGATAGCACTAGAGAGGGTTTCCGTATTGGCAAATATAGAAGTGCTCCCCGTTATTTAAGGTATTTCAAACAGTTTTTTTAACCACCATGACATTAGTCAAGTCATTTTATCATAAGATCAAGCTTTAAGAAAAAACAAAACAAACAATCTTTAACTAAGTATGGACTTTATTAGACTTGTAATGTGGCTAAGGGTTAAAAGGCTATGAAAGAAAAAATATTAAGGCTCAAATAAGCATTTAAGGGTTATTTGGAATAAGGATTATCAATTAAATAATACATCAAATGTAGACATTTTTTCACGAGCATTTTTTTTTTCTCGTTTTATTTTTGTATTACATGGTATGCTATCATTCATAACATTTTCTTGATTTCCTTTTTGTTCCTTGACTTTTTTTTATTTTAATTTTTTCCAAAACTTTTAACTATTAGATGCATATCATGTAAATATTGAGTTTACTTTCAATGAGAGATAACCCTTGGTTGGGGATAATTTCAAAGAAAATAACTATTTTTGGCTTAAAAAGGTAGTAAAAGATATTTTTACTTTGGACAAAGAAACATAGTCATACATCATTCCACATCATGATTGCCTTACTTTCACAAAGATTGATCCTACAACATGTATAATGTTTTTTTGTCCTCATTTCTTCCTAGACTACCCTTGCAGGTTTTTAGTTAAGTGGACTTCCTATATTTTTTTTAAATGTATTTTGTTTTACTAAACTTAAACTTATTTAAGGAATCAATCATTTTAATAGTTAGACGAGGTAAGACCTGCCTTAATAAGGGAATTTTTTTATTTCTGCCCGATAAAATTTATTAGGGGGAAAAGGTTAGAGGATTTTAAGAAATATGCATATGAATTCTTCTAAAGAAAATGTTATTGCATTGTACTCCATTAAAACATTGGATCAAGAAGAGACATGATATTCTGAGATATTATTATGTTTTTGAATTTTTTTTTCCTTTTTTGATTTTTTTTCCCATGAACTTGATGATTAATAAGAGAAACCATTAACCTAACATGCAATTATATTTTTGTGACACCCTTTTAGGTTCAACCAAGTTTGTATAGAACTTGGTTA